TGAAAATTGATGAAAAAATGCGCAATAGGGTTGTTTGATGCCTTGATAACGAAAATGATCACAACACGATGGCGTGCCCTGTCTCCCAGGCAGGCTCAGCCGTAAAAGAGCGCTACATGACGCTGGTGTTGAAAAGGAAATGTCATATTCGTTATCAAGGCATCAAACAACCCTATTGCGCAGGTTTTCATCAATTTTCATGAAAAAGGGTGTGGCGCCAAAAAGGCGTCTAATGGCGCCACATGGCGCCAGAGCTGAAAATGAATGTTGTGTTTGTGATCAGGGCACGAATAACACCAGTGTGCAATTTTGCACCGATTTTTATGAGAAAAGCGGTGGAGCCAAATTGGCGCCAGCGTAGAAAAAGAATGTTATACTCGTGATCAGGACGTCGAAATACCTTCACGGGCGAAGTCTCAACGATTAAAAAAATTTTGAGTCTTCGTGGAGCAACAGTTCAATAGTGCCGAATTTGATTTCGAAATGCTTTCAGTGAATCGTGAAAAATCTATGTCTCAATAAACGTGCTTCTTGCGTTTTGAGATGATAACACTGGATTTTATCACTCATTCATGTTTAAGGGCCGGGCCATTCAGGGAGTTTTTGCTGCTTGAAAGCGAACGATGACCCTTCGATCGTGACTTTTTGAATTTTTTTACATGTACAATTTTGTGCCCTGGGACAGGGAGAGGAGGGCAGAGGGGCTGAGACAGTACGCTTGTAAGCTCAGTGATTTTCATGGATGAATCGTGGTACAACGGCATGATACGTCACGAAATGATTCCAGCACCATGTTATAAGGCCACGTATCAAAGAGCAGTCGATCAGAAATATAGAAATTTGCGTGAAGCCAGAACAGATTAACTAGGGGCTCATATATGACACTCTAGATCTGTCGCGGGAAACGCGAGCGACAGCGAAATTGTTTCTTATGAGGCATTAGTGCTTGGAAAGCAAAAAACCTAGGATTGGGGAGACATAAGGTTCAGCGCGCCACATAATGAGTGGAGATCTGCACGTCATTGTTAGCGATCTCCAGCGACGAGTGTAGTATTTAACAATTGCTTTTGAGTTTCAGTTGCCGGCTTCTCCCTGCTTCTTCTAAAGTGCGGAAAATGCGAGGAAGTTGGAGGAAGTTGGGGAAGAAGGTGCGTAGAATAGGGAAAGTTTTGAGGGGTGGGTCGTACTTTGCAAAATCTCCCTCAACGCCAAAACGTGCCCTGACCCCGAAGCAGTATACGCCGCATCATTCAGCGACAGGAAGATCGCACGTGGCCACCAGAGCAGAACTGCTACCACTTTTTGGGCATCGTACCTCTTGTAGCATTCTACTTGGTCGGAGGAGTTCATACAAATGCCAACACAAGAAATCAGCGCTCGGAAGTAATATTGCAAGTGCGCCATTCCCACGTCCTCGGGTTCGATGATTGCATAGTCCATACTGCACATAAGAATGTGCTACAGTTCTGCATGGAAGGAAAATGCGCAGTGCCCCCCCCCCTCAAAAAAATAAAGGAACGGTCAGCGGCCAAAGCCACTAAGCTTCAATCCTTACTGAAGTCAACGGCGTTCACTTTAGTGGTTTGCGCCAAGCGTTCAACCTCCGTTTCAAGATTGTTCTGATTCCTGGATGCGAGCTACTGGATCTAGAATGACTTGCCCATATCAAAGGAAATGTAGATTGAAACAGCCGCTACCCTCTGAGCAGGAACTGTCTTTATAATCACAATAAACGTTATGACTATCTGGCGCGTTACAGTCACAAGTAATCAGAATGAAAAGGTATGGCTTCAAATTCGAGTGGAAAATCGGACCAAGATTGAGAATACTTTTGGGAAATGGGTATAGGTTGGGAGATCCAAATTACCTATGTCCCTAGCTGACCCGACATCTTGAAATATTCAATTTTTCGAATTCGAATCTCTTAGGTCCTAAGATCACGTACACTAG